GGTACAGGCTTAGAGGGGACAGGAGGCCTGAGCTCCGCTGGCTGTGCCAGTGCCACAGGTACCAGGGGCACACGGGCGAGGGGGTGGGCCGTGTGCACCCCACTCAGGCTGTGGGGTGTCCCGTGCCACCCCAAGGCCTGGAGCTGCCCTGCACCCTCCTGCCCTGGCGGCAGCCCAGGCCGGCACTCACAAGTCTGTGAAGTCATCCAGGCTCTCGTCAGGAGTGAACACATCCAGCAGCCCGATCACCTGGGAGAGGGCCAGGGCGCCAGGTGGGGTTCAGGGTGCAGCAGGGGGCCCAGGGGCTTGGGCACCCCCAAGGGTGGCACTGCCTTGTAGGCGGGAACCCCCACAGCTGTTCTGGTCACCCCCACTGTCCATAGGGCCTGACTCGGCCCGTTGGCAGTGTGGCCCAGCCCTGGCACACACATCCACAGGCAAAGGCTATTTTTGGATGGTGACAGCCGGGATCTCCTGGGGGAGGGGCAGCCCCAAGTCTGGGCTGGCTCTGAGCCACCAAAGGGCTCCAGCCCCTTGGCCCTTCCTCCCCTTTTCCTCTCCCCCCCAGCCAAGCGGACCCAGGACCAGGTGAGAAAAGCCAATACCCGGCAGGTTCTCCCCCAGGGCAGGCAGCACTGTGACCCCCTGGTCCCCGAAGACCAGGTGGCGGGAGATGGACAGCAGACAGGTAATGTGCCAGCTGCTGCCCAGCACCTGGGCAGACGTGGGGGACAGGGCCTCCAGGTCCCAGAGAGGCCTCGAGGAAGAGCTCCGCACAGCTGAGCAGCCAAGAGGCAGGTGGACGGGCCAGCGGGGGACACCTGGCAGAGGCCACACACAGACAGCGGCCGAGGCGGGAGGGAGAACACTTCGAGAGCTTGAGGAACTCGGGGAGGGAGGCCAGGTGGCTGAGGCCCAGGCCAGGGAGGAGCTGAGGAGAGGCCAGAGGGAGCCCGGGCACCGCCTCCCACACCAGGTCAAGGTTTGGCTCGATCCTAAGAGCCGGCAAGGAAAGGGGTGAGCACAGGGGATGTTAAACGCACCCTCTTGCCTCGGTGCAGGGACAGACCAAGTGAGGCGAGAATGGACACCCCATGGAAGGACATCTGGGTGACCACTGTCACCACCAGGCCCAGGTCTGTGGGTGGGAGGGTGGGAGGGTGGGTGGATAGGAGAAGGGAACAGAGGGGCCTGGGGGCCAAAAGCCTCAGGGGCGCCCGGGAGAGTTTGGTGAGAAGAGCACGGAGAGGACAGGGCCTCAGAGGTCAGGGGTCCACCAGATGCGCTCTGCCTCTGCAGTGCGGATGGAGGCCCGGAGGAGCGGGCTGGAGTTTGAGGGGAGGCAGAGTGCCTGGGGGTGGCAGGACTGGGCCTGTGGCAGCCCCTCCCTCCCACAGCCAGCAAGACCAGCAGGAGCCTCGGGGTCCTCAGGGGAAAATGGCCCCACACAAGGTGCAGAGCGTCCCAGCTGCAGGCAGGCAGGAGCCCGGTGGGGACGGCAGGACCCACTGGCACCGCAGGGTGACCCGGCACAGGCTGGGCCACAGGTGGGCAGCGAGCTCTTGGCTGGACAAGAGCCAGGCAGGTGGGGTAGGTGGGCAGCCGTGGGGGGGAGCTGGATGACAGGGGCAGACATGGGGAGTCCGTGGGAATTAAGGGCCCACCAGGCAGCCAAGACAGTGGCAGTGGCCGGGAACCCACAGGATCAGTTTGCAGGCGGACACAGGGCCTCATTCTCCCAGTGGGCTGGTGGCTCCAGTGACCCAGGAAGGTCCAGAAGGAGCATGGGGAGCTGGAGTCTCAGTGCCCAGACCGGGGTGGAGGCGGGAGTGGCGGCCCAGGCAGCACTGTCAGGAAACCAGAGCTGCGCTGGCAGAGAGATGGCTCTCAGCAACCAGCTGTGGCCACGGGCGAGGGCCGGGGCAGCCACGTGTGGTGTCCCAGGGACAGGACAGGGAACAAGAGAGGCCTTTCCCACATGGGGCCTAGACATGCCCCCCATGAACGTGAGTGTGTCTGTGAAGGCCACCGTGCCCAGTGCTCTCAGAACACCAGTTCCCTAAAGCCCTTCGCCAGGGACCCCTGAGAGCTGAGGGCCGGCTCCAACATCCCGCCTTGCCCTGCGGGCGGCCGCTGGGAGAGCAGGACGTAGGCTGGGTGGGTCCAGGACAGGGCCCCGGATGGGGAAGAGGGAGGTGCCTCTTGCAGGAAAGCCCTTCTTCCACCTGGAGCAGCCCTCGCCGCTGGGCTCCTGGCCAGAGGCAGGGTTCCGAGCGAGAGGAGGAGCCCTTAGGCCAGACCCCTGACCAGGCACCGGGGTTGAGGAGCCAGGCGTGGCCCTGGAAGAAGTCAAGGGCCTGAGCCCTTCCCCGGACGAGCTTGGAAGGGGCCCTGCGCTCGGCCTCCCTGTCCCGGACACAGCCCCGGCTCCGCCCGCCCCCACAGGGGTTGCCCCGGGGCAGGGGGGCCGGCCTTCTGGGGAGGGGAGATGAGCTGGCCTCGGGCGGGAGTCCCCCAGCTGCAGGCCGGGGCGACTCACGTTCTCGTGGTGCATGTGTTTGAGGAGCCGCAGCTCGCGGTAGGCGCGCTTGGCGAACAGCTCTGACTGGAAGGGCCGGTACAGCTTCTTGATGGCCACCTTGGCGCCCGTCCGGCTGTCCACGGCCGAGCTGCGGGGCGGGAGCTTAGCGGGAAGGCCGGTGCCCCCGACCCGCACGACACGCCCGGCCGCCCCGCCGCCGCCGGCCCGCGCTCACCACACCGCGCCGTAAGCGCCCGAGCCCACGGGCTGCAGGTCCTGGTACACGGCGCGCACCTCCCAGGCGGTCTTGGTCACCTCCTGGCGGTAAAAGCCACTGCGGGCAGGTGGCGGAGAGCTCATGGCGGGCTCGGGCGCCGCCCCCGCCGCGGACCCCGCAGGCACCGCGTTTGGAGGACCAGGACCCGGGATCAGCGGAGGTCCCTTGGCGCGCGCCCCAGCCACCGAGCCGCCCGATCGCCCGCCGCCGCCGCCGCCGAGGCGCTCCCGCGCCCAGCTCTTCTCTCCCGGTCGCCCTCCCGGCTCTCCAAGGCGCCCACCCCAGCCAGACCCCGACCCGGTGCCGGCAGCGCACGGCCCCTCCCCGGCACACGGACCAACCGGCCCCCTGGCCGCGCGCACGTGATGCCCCCGCCCGCCCTCTGGCCCCTCCGGAAACCCGAGGCGGCCGGCCGGACGGGCGGGCGGGGAGGTAGGGCCAGAGGCTGGGGGGAAGGGGACGGGGAGGAGAGCGCCACCCCAAGCTCTCTGCCCTCTGGCTGAACTTCCCGGCCTGGGATGGGGGTTGGGGGTCTTAGGGGAAGGGGAGAGGGGACTGCTCCTTACTAACCACCACCCTAGGGCGCTGGGCCCATCCCCAGCCCTGGGCACTTGTCCAACTGCGGGAACACCACCTCGCACTCCATCCCCACCCAGTCCCCCATCCCTGAGGCCCCTGGTCTGACCCTGTGTTCCCAATGTCCACCTCCCACCTCACCCCTAGAGATGCCCTGCCAAATGTGAGGTCCTCTAGCACCTGTCTTGCCTGCATCTCTCTTTCCAGAGAGGGGGGAGCTAGTTCTGTCTCCCAAACTTGGGAATATGTGGGTGCATGCCTATTGTCCCAGCTACTAGGGAGGCTGAGGCAGGAGGATGGCCCGAGCCTAGGAGTTGGAGGCTGCAGTGAGCTGTGATGATGCCACTGTACTCTAGCCAGGGTACAGAGCAAGACCCTGTCTCAAAAATAAATAAATAAATAAACAAGCCCAGTCTCCAGCAAGGTGTGCCTGCCTCCAGGGGTAAAGGGGGGACCTGCTCGGGCCCTGGGCCTGACCACTCTGGGGGGGTGGGCACCATCTTGGGCAGATGCTCCTGGAGGGCAGAGCCCACACCCCCTCCCAGCCCAGCGACCCAGGCCTGAGGAGGGAATACGGGGTCTGTCCCGGAGCCCACAAGGCTGGTGGGTAACAGGATCCCTGGGCCCCCCTGCCCCGCCCTCTGTGCCCCGCCTGCCCGCCATGAATCAGCAGCTCAGCGGCTCAAACTCAGCCAGAGCAGCTTTGCACCTGGGCTTTGGTGTTGATCTGGAGCATTCAGGAGCCGAGGACCAGCGAGCAGGGGCAGCTTGGGGCCACCCAAACCACAACCACCTGTATCCCGTGCCCTTCCTGCCCTGGGCCACCCACCTCCTCCAGGAAGCCCCCCAACTGTCCCCCTTATCTCCAGGGGTCTAGCAGGGTCCCATATCAGACCAGGCTCCCGAAGTGGGGCTGTGTCCCCAGTTATGCTCCTGTCCTCCACCCCCAAACGCTAGACTTGGCCCAGCCTGGTCTCCAGGGTTCCCCCCAGGACTGGCCGTCACACTGACCAAGCCCCTGGAGGTCCTGCTCCCAGATGGTTTCCACCCCTGCCCCAAGACCCAGGGCAAAGACACAGACTGTCCCTGACCCCTAGAGACATGCTGCCTGACCTCCAGCATGGCCTCGGTCCTCTCCCCCATGTGAGCTGCAGTGGGCAGTAGGAGCAGGTTCGGCAGGTGAACCCTTGGGGTTGAGGTGACCTCCTTCACCTTAACCAGGAAGGAAGAAAAAGCTACTTATGCTACCCTACTCAACCCCAGGGAAAGGCAGGCCTTTGCTCCCAGGGACACCCAACTGCCCCCCAGCCAGCCTCCCAGACCACTGAAAGAAGGCGAGAGACTGGGTCTGGGCCAGGATTCAAGGCTGCCCTGTGAATCCCTCGAAGGGCAGCTGGGGGTCACCGTGCAGGTGGCCATCCGCCCTGTTCCCTCAGTACCTGCCCACCTGCCACATCCTCCCCTGGGCTCCCAGACCTTGCAGGGAGCAGGGAGGGTGCCAGAGATGGCTGTTTGTCCACCTGGGGGCCCGAGGGATCTGGCCACTGCAGGCCTCTGGTGGTGCCGGGCCAGCTGGAGATGTGCGGGACCACAGGGGCAGCAGGGCCTGGAGCCTGGGACGCAAGCTGAGCAGGAGGGATCCTCTTTATTGTGCACCCCTGGTGCAGGCACTTGGCCCCAGACCTCCCTGGACCCCTCCAGGCAAGAGGCCACCACCACTCCAGGGAGGAGCCACACCTGACATCTCTGAGCAGTCCTGTCCCAGAGGTTTGTCCATTCGCCCCACTCTGGGAGCTGACCCACAGACCAGAGCACCTCGGACCTCCAGCTGCAGCCACCGCGAGGGCAGAGGTAGAGAGGGTGGAGGAGGTCAGGTCTCGGCTGAGGTCCAGGCAAGTGTCCAAGTCCGCATCCATGCGTGCTGCCTGCCTTAGCGTCCTCAAGGCTGCACCCCGCCCCCCACCCCAACAGCTGGAGTGTGCCTCACGCCTCAGGGACCAGCTGGAGCTCCAAGGAGAAAGCCCCCAAGTGGCTGCCCCATTGGCCCACTGGAACCCCTAGCCTGGCTCTCATCATCCCTTGTGGCATCAGGAACTAAGGGGAGGGGAAGCAGTAGCACACCCACCCGAACTCAGGCTCCTGCCCGACATGGCTTCTGGCCCTTGCATGCCCACGGATTCCCCCGCCCAGCACACGTCCTGACATGTGAACACTGGGACCACATGCTCGCGCCCGTGTGTGCCCACACACCCCACAGGCGACACAAGGCTCCAGGCAGCCTTTCTCATTTGACACCCGGTGGTTGTCCCGCCCTGCCACCCCCACGGGGAAGATCCTTCTGAGCCCGGTGGTGCACTGGCCCTGCCTCAGCTCTTGGGTCTGTGGGTCTCAGCAACCACCAGGGCAGCCCCCACTTCCAGGCTGAGCAGCTCTACCCACTGAGACCCTGGCCCCAGTGTACCCCACATAGCTCTCTGGGACAGAGGAGATCAAGAGACAGACACACTCCCCAGGGGGACCCCTGTGGCATCCAGACACACAGAGAGGTCCCAAGGGAGAGCCCTGTGGCCAGGAGGGGGTAGGAAGACCAAAGTAGACCCAGGACACCTGGTCCCAGACTCCTACACATGGCAAGCACACGTGCACAAAGGTTTGTGCAGTCTTATGTGTGTACACTCTCCTCAAGGCATGGGGTCCCAGACCAGGGGTCAGGGCTGCCTGGCCATGGGGGTGTAGAGGAAACCTGACCCACTGAGGGAGGGTACAGGCTCTCTCTGGCCTCTCCACAGGTTCAAGGGTAGCAGCAGGGCAGCACCTCACTGCTCAATCTCCAGGCTGCCTGGCGGTTTTGGAGGCTCTGGAGGCTTGAAGCTGAGGACTTCCTGGTAGGTGAGCTCTAGGAGTGAGGGGAAAGGTCAGCTTGTGGTGCCCAGCCCAGCTCCCACCCTCTGAGCACAGCTTCAACCGAGGCTGGGAGCCAGAGCCTGCCTTCTGCTAGACGCCCCCACCTCTGCCAGCCCGACTCTGGAGTAGGAGGCCAGTTGTTCCTCCTCCCAGGACACTCTGGGCAGGATCTGGGGCATTGCCTCCAGGGGGGGCGGGGAGATGCAACCCCAGGCCCTGCCCCACCCCCCATGCCCACACCAGGCTCCTGGGCACCCCCATGCCCACCCTTCCACTCCTCCACTGTGCGGTCTTTGGCCTCGACGCTCTCATCGTAGGGCTCTGCCTCTGGCTCATCCTCAGGGTCGTGGTACTGGCTGAAGTAGGCATGGGCCAGGGCTTCCGCCGCACTGACCCTCTGGTCACTGTCCAGCACCAGCATCCTTCCAAGGAGGTCTATGGCTGCAAGGGGGCCAGTGGGGGGTCAGCTCTGCATCCAGGGTCTGATGTGTAGCCCAGTCCAGTCCCAGGGCCAGTCCTCACCCAGAGGGTTCGCTCCGTGGAAGATGCTGCTGAGGTCCTTCTGGGGCATGGGTGGCAGGGACTGGATGTATGTCCGGGCCTGGAGGCACATAAGAAGGACCTGGGGGCTGTTCACCTCCTCCCTCCCTGGCCCCAAAGTGGGCACAGGGCTTTCCGAGAGAAACCCCTAGACTCATTCACTCCAACAGGCCTGGGCAAGGGCACAGGCAGACCAGACCTCCTCCCCACAGGGCCTGTAGAAGCTGGGTCCAGAGCTTTTCCTGCCCCTCCACTGCCCACAGCCAGGGCACTGCTTGTCAGGGAGGTGGTTTTGCCCTCACTGTCCCTTGTGCCAGGAACGTCTTCCCCTGTCTACCTGTTTCCCCAAACAGGTTGCATGCCTACCCTGGGTTCTACCCCACCATGCCCCATGTTCCCATCTGGTCCCCATATTTTCATGCCACCCTCTCCCCCAGAGTACCTGCCGCTTGATCAGCAGAGGGAGCTGGTGGCTGGTTGGGCACCGACTTACATGTTCTGAAGATATCTTTGCCAGAACCTCGGGGCTGGGTGTGCCCACCACTTCCATGATGCGCTTCAGCTGGTCAATGTCTACCTCGCTCAGGAAACTCCCACTGGCCAGCCATGGACCTTTCCCTGCCCCCAGATACAAGATCCTGGGGCACTGCCCAGAGCCTACAGCTGAGGACAGCAAGCCCACGGCGGCATAATACAGGGAGGCAAAAGGAAGCGAGACCTGCCAGAAACGGCCATAGCCCCACTACAAGAGGGGACCCTGGCTTGACGCTGCTCCCCAACCTGGGCCAAGGATACAGTCATTTCCCGGGAAGAGGGCCTTTCCTTGGAGCAGCTCAGCCATGATGCAGCCCACAGACCAGATGTCCACTGTTGGGGGAGGGGAGGGAAGGGGAGGGGAGAGACCTCCATCAGGCTGCCCACCCCAAACCCCTCCTCTGGGAGCTAAGAGGAGCCAGCACAGTTGACCCTCAGTCACAGCCAGGCCCAAAGACTGGCAGACTCCATCCTCTATGCCCAGCTCTGGGCAGGGGCAGGAGTTAGCTTGGACCACAGAGGCCATCGGTCACCTGCCACCCACCATGTCCCTCTGAAGGTCTTTTTGTTTTGTTTTGTTTTATAAGAACATAAGCTGTTAAGAACTGTTCTTTTTTTTTTTTTTTTTTTTTTTTTTTTTTTTTTAAAAAAAAAAAACTTTTTAAAAATTTTTTTTTTTTTTTTTTTTTTTTTTTTTTTTTTTTTTGAGACAGAGTCTCACTTTGTTGCCCAGGCTAGAGTGAGTGCCGTGGCGTCAGCCTAGCTCACAGCAACCTCAAACTCCTGGGCTCAAGCGATCCTTCTGCCTCAGCCTCCCGAGTAGCTGGGACTACAGATATGTGGCACCATGCCCGGCTAATTTTTTCTATATAAGTTGGCCAATTAATTTTCTTTCTATTTATAGTAGAGATAGGGTCTCACTCTTGCTCAGGCTGGTTTTGAACTCCTGACCTCAAGCAATCCGCCGGCCTGGGCCTCCCAGAGTGCTAGGATTACAGGCGTGAGCCACCACGCCCAGCCTGAATGTCTGTTTTTGAACGCTGGTTCCAGACCTTGCCTGTCACCAAGACTGGGCATGCCCCTCCCAGGGTCCTCATCCTTTGGCTCCACCCTCCCCAGGCCTAGGTGTGAACTCCGCCTGCCCGCCCACCCTAGACACCTGTCTGGTTGTAGTGCATCCAGTTCAGCATGATCTCAGGTGCCCGATACCAGCGCGTCGCCACGTATCCCGTCATCTCCTCATCAGCCTGGCGGGCCAGCCCGAAGTCCAGGATCTAGAGCAACCGGGAGGGGCTCTCAGCGTACCCCCCATAGCCGCTGCCCCATGCCACTGCCACCCCAGGCCCCTCGAGCCCCTCACCCTGAGCTCGCAGTCCTCATTCACAGCCACGTTGCTGGGCTTCAGGTCCTGCACGGGCGCGCAGGGGCGTGAGCGCAGGAGGCGCAGCCGCGCCAGCCCTCGGACCGACCCTCACCCGCGGCGGCACCTACCCGGTGGATGATCCCGGCCGAGTGGATGTACTGCAGGGGGGAGATCGCTGAGCGCCCGGCTTCCGCCCGCGCCCCCGCGCCCGCGCCGCCACCCCCGGGGCCCGGGAAGCCGCGCGCGCCCACCTTGAGCCCGCGCAGCAGCTGGTAAACCAGGAACTTGACGTGCTCGTCGCTCAGCGCCTGGCACTTGACAATGTTGTTCAGGTCGGCGCCCATCAGCGTGGTCACCAGGTACCTGGGGCGGGCAGGGGTCAGGACGGAGCCCGCCGCGCCCTCCCCGCACGCGCCCGGGCCGCTGCCTCGCCCGCCCGGCCGCTCACACTTCGCTGAAGTCCTCGATGGACGTGGCCGGCGTGAAGACGTCCAGAAGCCCGATGACCTAGGTGGTGAGGGGAGTCAGGACCGGGCGGCGAAGCCCTGCCCCACCGTTCAGCGCTCGGGCAACGCCCCACTGGCGCCAGGCCCCGCCCTCCGAGGGTCCCGCCCCCAGGCCACCCCGCCCCATTGGTCCGCCCCTCGTGGGCCCACCCCCCCAGGGCCGCCCCGCCCCATTAGTCTGTCCTCCGCGGGCCCGCCCCCAGGGCCTCACCGCCCCATTGGTCCGCCCTCCGCGGGCCCGCCCCCCACCATTGGTCCGCCCCCCCGTGGGCCCAACCGCCCCATTGGTCCGCCCCTCGTGGGCCCACCCCCCCCAGGGCCGCCCCGCCCCATTAGTCCGTCCTCCGCGGGCCCGCCCCCAGGGCCTCACGGGCCGCCCATTGGTCTGCCCTCCGCGGGCCCGCCCCCCGCTCACGTTCTCGTGCTTCAGGTGCTTGAGCAGCCGCAGCTCGCGGTACGTCCTCCGCGCGTGGATCAGCGACTGGAAGGGGCGCGACAGCTTCTTCACCGCCACCTTCTGGCGCAGCCGCGTGTCGTAGGCCGAACTGGAAGGCGGGCGGCCAGTGAGGCGGCGGCGGAGGCCGGGCCGGGGCGGGCCCGGTGGCCGGGACGGGTCCTTAGGGCGCCGCACGCACGCAGACGCTCGGTGGGCCCGCGCCCGCGCCTCTCCGACCGGCTCTCTGCGCGTCCGCTGGGAAGAAGCCCCTCGGGGCCGGCCCGTCATGCCAGTGCTCGCCGCGCAAGGTCCTCGCTCGTCTCATGTCCCTAGCCCCGAAGTCCCTCACCCCCAACCCGGGACCCCCATTCAAAGGCCCTGGTCCCCAACCCAGGACCCCCATTCAAAGCCCCTCGCCCCCAACCCAGGACCCCCATTCAAAGCCCCTCGCCCCCAACCCAGGACCCCCATTCAAGGCCCCCTCCGGCCCCAACCAGCGACCGTGCCCATTGCAAAGGCCCCTCCGCCCCACAACCCCGGACCCCCATGTCAAGGCGCCCCTCCAACCAGGAACCCCATTCAACAGCCCCATCGCGGCCGAACCAGGACCTTCAAAGCCGCCTGAGGTCCCCAACCCACGGAACGCCCCATTCAAAGCCCCTCGCCCCCAACCCAGGACCCCCATTCAAAGCCCCTCGCCCCCAACCCAGGACCCCCATTCAAAGCCGGGGAGCCGTCCCTCAAGCCAGAGTGCAAATAGCACATCAGGAAAACAGTCGCTGGCGTGTTCTCCCCGGTGCCTCCAAATATTCAAAATGTGGAGGGAATATTGGTGAGCGGTGTTTATTGCACCGTTATTTGCAACTGAAAAACTAGACAGTGGAAATGTCCCGCTGAGAGTGGCCTCTGGGGGTTCTATCCCACCCTCGGCTCTACTTCCAGAGGTCCAGACCCTTCACCTCCACACCAGCCTCCTCACCCACCTACTCTTAGCTGGAGAGGCGGCAGTCACCACTGTCATCCTCAAATGCAGGTGAGACAGGATCATGCCCGCCCTCCCCAGGTCCCACCGCCCTCAGGATCAGCACGCAGATATGAAGCCACCTCTGGAGTAGGCACCTTCCTGCCCTGCTGAAGGATCCCCTCTTTCCTGCTTCTGCCCCCATCTCTGGGCCTCTAGGCCCTCCTAAGTGTGAGTGGAGACTTGGGCCACCCCCATGCCCACACTAGGGGAAGAGGGGCAGCCCTGCTTGGTCTGGGGTGCTCATGGGTGTGGTGGAGGTGCAGGAGAAGCAACTAGGTGCCTGGGGCATCTGTGCCCCCCAGGCCTGTGACTTTCGGGGGAAGGTCCAAGTCACTCCTGGGGTAGGAGGTGAGTGGAGCAGCCCTTCCTGTGGGGCAGCAGAGCCTTTGCCTGATTTTATCTGTGCAGTCAAGTGACAGGGAATTGACACCATCAGCAGCCTCAGCAGTGGAACTGAGCAAAGGGGGCCAGGGGTCAGCAGAGAGAGACTGGGCCTCACCCGGGAACTTGATACCCCTCAGGAACTCCCAGATGTGGAGTCCCAGAGGTGAGTCCAGCCAGGCCCCCTTATCCCTGACCCTCTTCCCACCCTTGAGGTCTTACAGATAAGACAGGTGTGTGCTGGAATGGGTAAATGACCTGCTGTGAGGCTTCTGATGGCAGGCAAAGGATAGCGCAAGACAGGAGTCTGCTCTGGGACCCCAGCCCCTGCTGCAGGCTCCTGAGCTCCGCTTCTGGAGGAGCCCTGAGAAGCCCCCTCCTAATCTGCAATGGCCTGGAGCAGCACTCTGCCCCACCACCTCTGCCTTAACACCTCCACTGCTGCAGTGGACAGCAGCTCTCTGGCACTGGCCTCAGTAAGGACCCAGCGGGGGGTGGGGGGTGGGGAGGCACCTCTCAGTGTCCACAGCCGGGATCAGCCCCACTGTCAACATCAGAGCTGCAACCGAGGGCTCCACTTAACCACGTCATCTTAGCCCCCTGCAGAACCGGTTCCAGGGTAACTGAAGCCTCAACCCAATCTGGATGCCCCCATCCAGACTCCGTGGTCTGTCTGGGTCCCAGGCCAGTTCTGGGGGCCCCAAGACCTAACTGGGCTGGGAGGCTGTGGTCTGAGCGCCGTAGGTTGGGGCAAAAGTGGGTGAGGTGTAGACGCCCCAGGGATTGTAGGGAAATGGAGGCATCTCTGTTCAGGCCTAAACCCCATCTGGAGTCTGAGACTCCAGAAAACACGGGGCGGCGGGGGTGGGCAGGACCCACAGGGGAGCCTGAGGCCATCCTAAGGGGGAGAGGTCTCTATCTCCCTCTAGCTGGGCTTTCCCTTTTCAAACAATAGCGCCCACCGGGGCGGGGCTCCCTGCTAGCCCCAGGGGCTGCCCAGCCCTTGCAGGAGTCAGACGTTTAGGAACCCGGGGGACCCCCCCTCCTGCCAGCTGTGACGCCCCAGGATTCGAGCCGGGTGGGGGACTCTCCCAATCGGGCAGGGCCGGAGGACCCCCCCCATTGCCACCAGAAGCAGCGCCTTGGAGGAAAGTTTCCTTCATGCCCCCTCCCCCCGCCCCGTTCGTTCCCCTGATCCGCGCAGGGCGTGGGGCGGAGGCAGGGCGAGGCCCCTCCCCGTGCCGGGAACCCCGCGCCGGGCGGGGAGGGGGCGCACGCTGGGGCCGGTCCCAGCCCCCCTCCCCGGCCCCCGCCTCTGCCCCGCCCCTACCAGACCGAGCCGTAGGCGCCGGAGCCCACCGGACGCAGGCCCTGCAGCCGCTGCGGCACCTCCCACACCGTCTTGTTCAGCTCCTGCCGGTAGAAGCCGGCGCGGGGGCCCGACATGTCCGGAGCCGCCACCGCTGCTCGGCCCAGCCCCGGAGCCCCGCGCCCGGCGCCGGAGCCCGAGCCGAGCGGAGCGAGCGCGGCTGCAGGGGCGGCGGGGCGGGGCGGGGCTCCGGGGCGGGGCCGGGCCGGGGCGGATTTCCCGGGGCGCGGGGGGGGGGGCTCCCCGAGACAAACGCGTGGCTTCCTGCCCCTCAGAGGCGGCGGCAGAGCGGAAACCAGCCGAGGCGGGGGGCGGGGGCGGGCGGCGAGGATCTGACATCCTCCCTCCGTCTGTCACCTCCCGGGGCCGCGCACTTCCCCATTCTGCGCCCGCGTCCGCCCGCCCAGCGCCGCCCGCTCGGCCCCTGCGCTCCGGCCCCAGCGACCCCCCAGGAGGGAGGGAGAACCGTCAAAGGCGAAGCAGCCAGGGGTGGACCATGGGAGTATTTTTCAAAAAGACGCAAAATACCACCTAATAAAAACTGGGCACTTGGTTAAAAATTAGCCAAAAAGGCATTGGATAGGGCTCTTCTGTGCTGGGCACATGACGGCGCCCGGAGCCCGGGCCAGCCTGGCTGCCCCCCACCCCCGGGCCCCCGCGGAGGACGTTCCGGCCTGGGCGGTCGCGTGGGCCTCCTCGGAACCCTCCCGGGTCTGACGTCGGCCGGCGCCGCGCCCGGAGCGGTGTGACCGCTGGGCCGGGCCTGTCAGGACCAGGGACAGCGGCGTCGCCAGGGGCCTTTGGGGTGTTGTACCCGCGAGGATCTGTCCCAGACGGGCCCTCTTTGGCGCCCAGCACCTTTCTTCCTCCTCCTCGGCTGTCCCCTCTTCCAGGCAGCCCGCCCTGGTTTTCCCCGGTGCCAGGAGCCGCCCGGTTTGCAGGGCCAGCCACGTTTCCTCCCGGCCTGGAGGGCTTGTTCTCACGGCTGCTTTCACGGTGACCAGGGGAGAGCGCCGTGTCCAGCCTCCCGGGCGCCTGCGCGCTCGGGCGCACGTCTGCTTTGGTTCCCACTGGACGGCGACCCGGGCTCGGCCGCCCCGCGGAGAAAGGACCCGACCCTCCGCCCCGGGGACAGTGCAGTGGGGGGGGGGCGGGTCTCCGTGGCTGGCCGGCCCCCCAAGGAAAATGGGAAATCAGGCTCCCAGTTGCCTGGAAAACTTTTCTTAACGTCAAAGTCCGAGTTTCAACGTGAAAGCTCTTGGTTTTTAAACATTGGCAACCAAGTTAAAACATGTCCAGACAAATGGGCGAAGCGACTCCACCGCCGGCGAATCCGGACCGTGGGCGCCGACGAGTGGCCGAGGACGCAGGGCCGAGTCCCAACCGCGCCGGCCCCTCTCGCTCGACCTTGGCGAAGTCCCGAGCCACCCCGGGCCTCAGTTTCCCCTCTGCGAGCTGCTGTCCGACCAGGGGCCTGGTAGGGGAGTCCCCACCCCCGCCGCCCCTCCGGCCCCCCAGCCCCAGCGCCCCCAGTCCCGGGGCGTCTTTCAGCGGCCGTGGCCTGGCGCGGAGCTCGCGGCGCTTCAACCGCGCGGTGGGAACTGCGGCCGCGGCCTGGGGGGAGGGGCGGCCTTTGTCTGCGCCGCGCCGGGCCGGGCGGGGCTCAGCCCGTTCCCATGGCGACCGGCCCCGCCCCCACCTCCCTGCTGCGGGGCGGCTCGGTTTCTTCTACCCGGGGAATCCGAGGAGATGAGGGGCGGGGAAGGTCTGCCTACCCGCCGGAAGTCCCCGCCAGGTGAGTGGTCAGCGCCGACCAGAGCCCGGCGGCCTTCCTGCAGGCCGGGGAGCCCAGCCCCACTCGGTGGGTCCTCAGTAAACCTGCGCTGGGAACCCCCGGTGTGCTTGCGGCCCCTGGCAGAGGTCACCTCCACCGCGCCTGCTGGTGACTGCTGGTGACGGCGCGGTCCTAGTACTGCAGGGCCGGCTTCAGGTGGCGGGCAGTGCGGGGAGGCTCCCCCTGCACGGACAGGCAGTGGAGGGCTGGGCTGAGCCCAGAACTGAAGGGAGATGGTGGTGGGAGAGGTGGGGTCCGGAGGGTGGGTGGCTGGGGCAGGGCAGGCCAGCAGGGCAGGGGTGTGTGTGGGGGCCGGGGGCTGCAGTGGAATAGCTTCCTTCCACCCTGGGCTGTGATCCACTGTCACCCCTGCGTATCCACACCTACCCCTGCTCTCCATGTCTGCTCCCCCACTGGTCCTCTCTGCTCCCTCCCAGCCCCCTGGCCGTGTTCATCTGGCCTTGTTCACCAGGGCCCAGGTGATGGTGGTGCAGGCAGGACGTAGCCATGGGCTGCCCACTGGCTTCTCATACCAGCTCTGCCTCCTCCCACTACTGGGGAGGACAATGGGACGTGGAACAACAGGGTGGGCCACCCCTTGTCTGCCACCATTCCGACCACTCGGGCTGGCCTGCTCACCCCACGCACCCCAACATCTATGCCCAGTTTCTACCCCTCACTGGAGCCCTGCCTGGGCATTGGACTGTCAGACCTGTAACCTCACCCCATCTCGAAACTTCACAGAGGGTAGGGGCTCACTGGCCCTTCCCTTCCCTCCTGACCTCCGGGTTCCCTGCCCCTACCTGAGACCCTACTCAGCACACCTGGACTGTGTGTTCTACCCCAGCACTCTGGCTTCACAGCACCTTGTTCAGATTTCCTGACCAGCCAGGTCTCTGGGAAGGGGGAGCCCAGTGTCTGGCCGTAGCAGCAGTGCCATTTCAGGGGGCCTTGGAGCAGGGGGCGTCAGTTGTTTGCCTGCGACCCCCTTCTTGGGGGAGAGACAGCTAGCCCTTTTCTCTGTGGCTTGGATGGGGCTGCCCCAATCCTGGGGCCCAGGATCAGCCTTGCCCACCAAGAAAGGGACCACCAGCCACCCATGTGCCCAGAGCGGGAGACTAGGGCCGCCTGATGATGAACCAGCGCAGGTTGGGAAGCAGTTCAGAGAGATGGAACCCAAAACCTGAGCATTTGGATCATGCCACACCTGAAGCTAGATGCTCACTTCCTCCTACTGGGCTGCCAAACCCCCTTTCTGCTTGAGTTGGGATTCGTGGCACACAAGGGAGGCCACAGAGAACCCTGGCTCTCCTGTGTGATGCTGTCTTCCTGGCACTGGTACAGTGCCTGGTGTACGGCGGGTGCTCAGGAAGGACATGTTTGGCGAACGAGGTCCCATGTGCTGATGCCCTGCGGGGCACCTCTCAATCCCACCTGCCCTGAGCCCTTTCCTGAGACTGGGAGCAGCCGCCTTCCCCTATTGCCAGCTTCCGGGACAGCCACGCCCATTCCCCATCTGCAAAGGTGCCGCTTGCTCTCAGTCACGTGGACCTGGAGTCCTGCTGAGGTCCTGAGTCATCCTGGCATGGCTCACGGGACTGAGAAGCAGCTGACCTCGTGCCACGGCCACCATCCGTGGGACTCAGGGCCCCCTCTCCCAGAGCTACTAAAGCCGTGCTGTGTGGAGTTCTTACTCCTCCTGAGAACGCAAGGTCAGGACAGGGGCTCGCGGGCAGTGCAGCCCAGCGCCCGGTGAGGCCCAGCTGGGCACTGCCTTGTGCCCCTCCGAGGGGTAGGAGAGGAGAGACAGACGGGTGGCCCCAGAGGAACCCAGTCAACCAGCAGAGTGAAAAAGACAGCTGTATTTGATTTACAATGAACAAAATTTACAAAAAGGATGGGGGGGGATCCTGGTGGAGCTGCCCCCAGCACCCCCCCAGACCAGGGCAGGGCCTCCAGGACCCCCATTTTGCTGGGCCTCCTCTGGCCACCAGGGCCCCGACGTCTGACGCCCACCTTTGAGGTGGGGCCCAGCGGCCCTTAAGTCCACCCAGAGTGCTGGCAGCCCCTGGGGAGGCCGGGTGAGGTCAGGAAGGCATCGTACCGCTTTTTCTCCTCTTTCCATCCTGGTGGACAGACGGACACAAGGTCTGGGAACTTGCCCCGGGAGGGGGGGCTGCAGGCACTCAGACCCCACCCAGAGGCCAAGCCCAGGTATCTGAGGTGGCTGCTGGTGCGTAGGGGGGAGGCTGAGGCCCGACTGCCCCACTGTGGCATCATAAGGCACGTTTGCAAATCACTCAGAAGACTGGACACAGAACACCTGCTGCTGGTCCCACGGAGGGAGCTGGTGCTGGTGAGGGCGCCCGGGCAGTATTGCTCAGGAGAGATGCTACCGGCTGCAGCTCGGGGCGGGGCCCTGCCACAGCCACTCCAGATGCTGGGGCACATCCTGCCGGGGAGAGAGGGGTGCTCAGCCGCAGACCACGCAGCCTTGACCCGAGGGGCTGCCCCACCTCATCCCAGCGCTGGCTACGCACACCTGTGCCCGAGGCAGCATTGGAGGTCAGAGTTCAGAGGTCGGTGACCTTATTCTCAAGTGCAGCTGCAATCTGCTGCAGGCGGAAAGCCAGCTGCATCTTCTGGGCAGCGGGGTCTTCCTCCAAGGCATTGATGATCTGAGGGCGGGTCGCGTCAGACTACAGCCCAGGGCAGGGTTGGCCCCAGCACTCCCGCCCCGAGGACCGGGACCCTACCTCGTCGTAGTACTTCTGCGTGTACTGGTAGAGCTGGTGCAGCGCTACGAGCGTGTTCAGGGAATCCGTGTGTGCCTGGGGAGTGACAGAGGACCCAAGGGAAGAAGGGGCCATGGGGGTGGCCGGGCAGGCCCAGTGTGGGTCGCCCAGGACAGGAGGCCGCCCCGACAGGACAGCTGGCTGGGACATGACGGCTCATGCTGGTGTCGTGGGCACAGGAGGCACACGGGCTCCCCCGTGGCCTGGCAGCGGACAGATACCCACACGCGAGATGTGCACACGGAGACGGCCACAAACACGGCCAGTACAGCAGAGACAGGAGGCAGACCTGGCTCACAGCTGCTCACACTGCCTGTGTGCACACGCCGCGGCAGTCATAGGCACGACACACTCAGCTGCATTCACACACACACCCACACGAAGGTGCAATCACACTACACACTCGGCCACATTCACACACACGCTCACACATGAAAGTGCAATCACACGACACACTCGGCTGCGTTCACACACATGTACACACACGAAGGTGCAATCACACAACACACTCAGCCGCATTCACACACATGAAGGTGAAATCACACAACACAGCCACATTCACACACACACTCAGGTGCATTCACACACACACACACGAAGGTGCAATCACAGGACACACTCCGCTGCGTTCACACATGCAAAGGTGCAATCACACGACACTCAGCCACATCACACATGCACACACACACTTAGCTGCATTCACACACGCACACACATGAAGGTGCAATCACACGACACACTCAGCTGCATTCACACACGCGAAGGTGCAATCACACGACACACTCAGCCGCATTCACACATGCGAAGGTGCAATTACACGACACACTCAGCCGCGTTCACACGCACGCACACACACACGTGAAGATGCAATCACACGACACACTCTGCTGCGTTCACACACATGCGCGCGCACACACACACACACGACAGTACAATCACTCACACCTCCTCCCATGACTCAGAGTCACACGGTGGCCTGGCCCGGGACAATGTCCCCCCCGCCAGTCGGCACAGCATGATATACGGAAAGGGGTGGGGGGGCCTTGGCCCGGCCTGGGGAGGGTCAGTGGCGCGTCCCTGTGGTCCCCTTACCCGGGAGATCTCCGCCAAGTGTGTGTTCATGTCCTGGTCGCTGACCTGCACCATCTGCCGGATGCCCTTGTAGTAGCTGCAGGGGAGGGGGGGTCACCGGTGGGTGGTGGGGACGCAGGGTGGGGGGGTGGCAGACGCCTGAGGCTGGGCCTCGAAGGCCTCCCTGGGACTGAGCTGCCCACCACGGTCCCCCTCCGCCCAGGGGCCCCTCGGAGGGATGAAGGGCGGGTCACCCAGGGTCTGGCCGGGGTGGGACTCACTCCTCCACCATCTTCTTGTAGGTGGAGATCTCCTTGGCGTACAGCAGCTTGTTGCTGGGAGAGTCCTGCGGGAGGACACAGCCAGTGACACCCCAGCCAAGATGGGCCCCTGGCTCCCTGACGTGCCTGGGTGTCACTGCCTGTAACTTGTAATTTGCAGAAAAACTCAGTTTCTCCGCTATGCAAGGTGGGGGGAGGGGAAGCAGGGCAGCCCCACGGCCCGGCCACCCTCCACCTGCCCACGTCCGGAGCTCCGGCCTGCAACATGCACACCTGGCCCATCCAGACTCACCCGGCGGCTTCCCTGGCCACCCTCCCACCAGTGACACTATCCACACATCCTGGGCACCTGACCCGCCCCCCCCCCCAGATCTGCCTGGGCCCCGCAGCCTGCACCCCTGCTCACTCACGCGGCTCAGCTTGTGCTCCGTGCGCGTGCAGGCGTCCATGAAGGTCTGCGCGATGACCGACAGGGAGGCGTCCACCACCTCGTGGACGTGCACGTCGAAGATGAAGTGGGGGTTCTTGAGAATGTTCACCCAGAACCGGAGGGGTAAACTGAGGCAGGGCGGCAGGGAGTGAGTCCCGCGGGCAGGCGGGCGGCCGGCCCTCACCCGCCGGCGTTCCGGGTGTGGACAGGACCCTCACCTGTTGGTCTTCCAGATGTGCACGGTGTCCTCGTCCTTGATGTCGTGCTTCTCCGCCTGCTCGTCCAGGAAGTCGAAGAAGTACTTGACCGCGGGCGGCACGGCGTGGCCGGGCGCCAGCACGCTCTGGAAGAAGTTGTCCACGAACTGCTGCAGCGTGCCCTGCGGGGGGGGAGGCGGGGTCCATCGCGTGAGCTCTGGGGGGCGGGGTCAGCGTGGCACTGGGGGGTGAGGTAGCTGGGGGGGGAGGCGGGGTCAGCGTGGGGGGGAGTGGGGTCAGCGTGCCCTGCGGGGGGAGGTGGGGTCAGCGTGGGGGAGGGCCGGAGCCCAGGCCTGCCGGCCGCTGGCTGCACTCACGCCCGCCGCGGCCCACCTTAACCGACAGCAGCCTCGTCAGGTAGATCTCGGTGATGGCTTTGGTCCGCTCCTTCTCCTTGACGCTGCCGCGCTTGGACTTGCCCTCATCCACCTCGTCCGCCGGCCGCACCAGGTGCCACACGCGGTTCTCCTCCTCCAGCAGGGCGTGGCCTGCAGGGGGGGCCAGGGTGAGGACTAGAGCCCGGGAGTCCGGGGGCCCTGGGTCCCTCTGGACAGCAGCAGAGAGGGCAGGGGCACGTGTGCCGCAAGGTGGCCGCGGTCCCAGCTGACCTCCAGGCACCAAAGGGCATGGGCGAGGGGCGGGACTCACGCTCCCCAGGCAGGTCCTGCTGGCTGTCCTCCGGCTGCTGGGAGACCCCCACCTTGGACAGGATGAGGGTGGCGCCGTCCCGGACCTGGGGAGCACAGCCGTGACCGGGGGCACTCCCCGCAGCGCCAGTCTGGCCCCGCCCCGCCGCCCGCCCGCGCACTCACGTTGTAGTGCATCAGCGTGTTGATGCGCTTCCACCGGCCCTCCCGCTGCGAGGTCAGGTCCAGGTCGGACAGAATCTGGGCCGTGGACCCCGGTCGCCACTCTGTGGGAGAACACAGCCCGGCTCCTGGGGGACCGCGGGCACAGGCAGCCCTGTCCTCGGTCCGGGCAGGACACCCCCGCCACCCCGCCCAGGCCGGCTCCAGCCGGTGCTCACCGAGGACCACGCTGTCGGGCTTGGGCCAGCAGGAGCAGGGCTGCGTGCGGTATACCTGGTCGATGACCTTCTCCTTCACCTGGGAGATGGTGTCGCAGTTGAGGACCTTGACTGGAATGGCGTCGACCCCTTCGTCCTGCACGATCACGCTCACTGTCTGCCGGGGACACAGGACGAAGGGTCAGCAGGACAGTGGCCCTCGCTTCCACACGCTGCTACCCCTGGGCCTTGTCCGGCCCTCTGTGCCCTCAGGCGGACGTGCTGGCCGCCGGCTACGACCTCCAGGCACCAAAGTTGGACTGTCCTCCCACTCTGTGCCTCCCCTGCCGGCCTCGGCTCAGGACAGAGGGCGGGGACTGCTCACTGACACGTCACCACGCAGCGTCACGGGGCCACACGTGCACAGACTGAGTGCACACACGGACATGTGTCCACACACACAGCCTGAATCCTGTCCCAGGGGACATGTGGCTCACATGTGCCCACGCTCACCACCAGCAGACCCCACGCGTGCCCAGGAAGCAGCCGTGCTCAGGGTGGGGACATGCACAGCCTCCTCCCCTGGGGACCCCCGCCCACGACCCCCCCAGGGCAATACCCAAACCGACAGCGAACAGGAGCGGCCTTTGCACTTGACCTTGCCCGCCCTGACGCTGAGCCCTGCCGTCCCGACCCCTGTGGTCCCGTCCACGGCCAGGTCCCCCCCACCCCAGGCAGCCCCCAGCCCGGAAGCCGGTCCTCGGTGCTCGTACCAGCGGCGCGTACTCCACGTCGTCCCCCAGCAGCCCCGTGTCGTTGAGCGTGTACTTGGCCTTCTTCTGCACGGCGTCCACGGGGCCCTTCTCCACCTGGTGCTTGATGGCCTTGAACAGTTTGTACAGGGGCTCGCCGGCGCTGTCCTGGGGCGACAGGGGGCAGCTGTGTGGGTCGGGGCACTTGGGGCCTGAAGGAGCCCCCCAGGCCTGGGCAGGGGGGGGGGGGGGACTGCCCGTGTCGGGGGCCAGGCCCACCCGAGGGTGCTGGACAGGCAGGTGGCGTGCGGAGGGTGCAGCCCTGAGCCCCCAGGTGGGGGCGGCACCCACCTTGAGGTGCTGGTACAGGCAGATGGACATCCAGTTGGACAGCATCCTCTCCACCACCGTCTCGGACCTATGGGCGCAGCGGGTGGGATGGCACCGAGGTGGCCCTGGTCCCCGCGAGGCCCAGCCGGCTCTCGCAAGCCCCCGGCCAGTTGGCGCCTGCTTGGCCTCTGCACCCAGCCCGGTGCTGTCCAGCCACACAGGTGGCACCAGCCATCTTCGTGGGGACTGTCACCTCCCACCCACTCTGCAGCGGCTGACGCTGAAGGCAGAGCAGCCGGGTGGCCGGGAGAGACGGCTGGGTGGGTGAGGGCAGGCCGCCCGGCTGTGTGTTCGGGGCCAGGATGCCCCCCAGGCTGTCCCCCGACCCGCCACCTGCCGGAATCAGCCCCGCGCCCCGCCCAGGCCGCCCCTCGGCCCCGGCCCCTCGCGCACCTGCGCAGCATCAGCTTGGGGTTCTTGGCCACCACGTACTGCTCCATGAGCTCCAGGAAGAGCGTGCGCATGATGTCCGTGTAGTACTCGAGCTTCCCGTGCAGCGCCACCGTCAGCAGCGACGCGAAGTACACCTTGGCGCGGGCCGAGAACTCCCGCTGGTTCTCCAGCGTGTGGATGAACTGCGGGGCCGGCGGGGCAGCGGTCAGAGTCCACCGGGGACCGTCCTGCCCCGCCCCTCACCACGCCCCACCGGCCACGCCCCGCCCCCGCACCCCACTCACGTTGATGAGGAAGGACTTGCTGTTGAGCAGATTGGAGAACTGGTAGAGCGCCTGCTCCACCACCGGCCGCCGCGACGCGGGGATGTCCAGCTTGCCCGTGATCATCACGTCCTTGTCGCCGTCCTTGGAGGGCAGGAAGAAGACGCGGTCCGTGTAGGTCTTGTAGTCCAGCACGGGGATGCCGGCCTCGTGCACGTCGTTGGTCTGGTCCTCCATCTCGATCATCAGGTCTGCGGGGCGGGCGGGGCGGGGCTCCGGTTGAAGCGGGGTTCCGGGCAGCCGAAGCCCCCCCACCCCGCCCCGCCGGGCCCTACCCGTGAACTCCTTCTTGCAGCGGTCACGCACGCTCTCCTCCAAGCCCTCCAGCTGCGACTTGATCTTCTCGTACTCGCGCTCCGCCTGCTGGCTCTTCCTCCTGGGGGCACAGGCGGGTCCCTGCGCTGACCGCGGCGGGGAGGGGCAGCGCGTGGCTCGGCAAGCGGGTGGGCGCGGCCGGTGTGGCCGGAGGGGTCAGGGAGGGGTGCCGGCTGGCGGGCTGGGTGGGGGGGGCTCACCAGTAGCAGTAGACGGACACCGCGATGACGGCCACCATGGGCACGATGACCAGCGGCAGGATGAGGCTGAGCGGCACGTCGCTCACACGCGTGTCGTACTCCACGCGGCCCAGCACCCACTCGCGCGAGCCGAACTTCACCTGCACGGAGGGAGGGGCCGGAGGGGGGAAGGGCTCAGCGCTGGCAGGTGCGGGGGCGGGCTCCCCGGTCCCCCGCCCGCCCCCCCACGCACGATGAACTCCGGCAGGTTGTGCGTCGTGTCGCGCTTCTGCCGCCGCTTGGGCGGGGGCTGCACCTCGGGGGGCTCGCAGTACAGGTCGGTCTCCGTGAGCGTCTTCATGACGCAGCGCTCGGCGCCCACGAAGGCCTCGGCCTCCTGCAGCGTCATGGCCTTGTTCAGGTTGGTGCCCTGGGGGTGGGGGTGGGGGGCGGAGGAAGGGCCAGGTGAGCGCGAGGAGTGGTCTCCGGTCCCTCGGCCCCGCCCGGCTCGCCATGCCCGGCCGCGTCCTCACCCGGGCGTGGATCAGCTTGTTGACCTGCTTCTTCACGCCGCCCGTGAAGTTCTCGAAGGTGGGGTCGGGCACGTACTCGAAGGCGCCGGACTCGGTCTTGAGCAGGGCCTGGTGCCCGTCCATCTGGACCAGCACCGTGAGGTTGTAGGCGTCTGGCTCCTCGGGGACGGCCGGGGACAGGAAGACGACCTTGGTGTCGTTGTAGAACACGTACTCGGTGCCCGTGACCTGCGGGGCGAGGCGGCAGGGCCGTCAGGACACCGGTGCTGGGCCGTCAGGACACCGGTGCTGGGCCCCGCCCTTCCCGGCCTGTGGGGGGAGGGGTGGGCGGCGCCAGGACTGACCGTGGTGGGCTGCAGGGGTCCGGCCTCCCGCCGCCGCCGCCAGGACTGCAGGGGCTCCGCGATGACCACCATGGCGAACCTCTGGATCAGGCTGAAGCCCTGGCCGGTGACGCTGATGTTCCGGCCACCGCTGGGGAGGGCGATCTTTAGTGGGCTCAGCCGGGAAGCGCGGACGTCCACCCCACCCCCACCCCTCCGGCTCGGGGCCGGACTCCGGCCATGCTGGACTTTTGGGGCAGGGGCCGTGGCACAGGCAGGGCGCAGGGTCCTGGGAGGAAGCTGATCTGGGGGTGCAGTGGGGCTTTCCAGAGACCCCTTCTGGCCAGGGCGCCAGGGAGGTACCCGGATGTGGGGGTGGGGTGCGGCCGGCTCCCGGGCTGGCGGGATGATGGACGAGGCCGGCCGGAGGCAGCTGCAGGGGCTTACCTGACGAAGCTACGCAGGGGCTCGAAGGCCTGCAGGACCGGGTTCTCGCAGTAGGTGAAGAAGATGCCGGGCCCGGGCACAGTGGAGCCCCCGTAGGAGATCTCGAGGGGCACCTGGCCCAGAGTCGCCTGGGGGCCTGTGACGCACTGGAGCTGCGCCCCGAACTGTGTCCTGGGGTGGGAGGGGCCGGGCTGCGTCAACCCCACCCTGGGGCCAGCCCCAGCCCTGCCGGGCGAGTGGCAGGGCGGATGGGCCGGCGTGGCTCCGCCGCCCCGCGGGTTGTGGGGAGAGGGCCCCGCCCCCGGGCAGCCGGCGGTGACACCCACACTTTGCAAGGGACGCCGTTGAGGGTCACCCGCACGTCTTCCTTGGAGCCTGTGTCCAGGTGGGTGCCGTTGATGGTCAGCGTGGTGCCGCCGGCCTTCGGGCCCTGACGGGGCTCCACGCTCAGCGGCTCGGGCTGCTGGAAGGGCCACAGGGGTGCCGGGTCAGTGCGGGGTCAGGGCATGCGGCCGTGCTCGGCCCCAGCCCCAGGTCTCTACTGGACGATGACGCTGCTAGAAAGCGGCAGGGCAGAACCCACCGCCCCTGCGCTCAGCACCTGGGGCCAGACCCGCTTCCCAGCACCCAGGGCCCCGGGCCGGCCACTTACTTGGAAGGTGAACTGGACGCTGTCGGGGGAACGGCCCAGTTTCCCATTGACGTCCACCTCCACGCCACCCGTGAGCGGAGCCTCCGCAGCCTCGACCACGCACACAATCCTGGCGGGGACAGGCGGGGTAGCCGGACCCTCCCCAGCCCCCGACCCCCAGCTCCCTGTCCGCCCAGCCGCCAGGCCCCAGCACCCCAGGTGGGGACTGGCACCCCAGGTGGGGACTGGCACCCCAGGTGGGGACCACCCAGCCCTGCACTCACTGGGTGGACACGGAGTAGCGCTCGGGCTCAAAGACGCAGTTCTGGCCGGCCACGGTGACCCCCTTGACGTCATCGGCCCTGACGCCCAGGTTGGACCCGAGGATGGTGACGTGGACGCCCCCGCCCAGCGGACCCGTCTCCGGCTGGATCTGGAATCGGCGGATCGGGAGAGCCCCGTGACCCAGTGGCCTTCGGGGCGGGGGCTGCGGGGGTGGGGGGGTGTCACGGGACGGGCGGGGGCTCACCCGGGTGATGACAGGCGGCGGGCACTCGGAGGTGGCGTTGGCGCACAGGGCCTCGTACACGCACCTGCCCTGCCCTCGGCACCACACGCACCTGTAGGCGGGGTCGGCCGCCAGGCACAGGCTGCAGTCGCTGCGGCCAAAGGAGCAGTTGTAGAGCGTCACTGTGCAGGGGGGAGGCAGCAGTCAGCGGCCGCCCAAGCCCCGCGCCGCTGCCCCACCCCCGGCCCCAGCCCCCGCCCCGGCCCCCGCCCCACCTTGGAGCTTGCTGTCGATGTTCTTGCCGTAGGACTTGACGTACAGGTGCAGGGGCAGCGTCTCGTTGGCATCGTGGGACAACTGGGGGACACGGTGGGGTCACATGGGAACCCCCGTGCGGCCACACGGTCTCCTCTCAGCTGGCCGAGGGGCTGCAGGGGAGGCCCTCACGCGGCTGTAGCCTGAGAGCCACAGAGCCAAACGCACACACACTGCCAGGGGTGCCTGGTGGTGGAGGACGCAGAGGGACCGGTGCTCTGGCCCCCGGGGCAGAGGGCAGCGAGCGTCTCGAGGCCACCCTGGTCCTCAGCAGGGCGGGCTCTGGCCAGGCGCCAGTCCCAGGTGGCCCCTCTGCCCTTTCCCTAAAGCATACGGAGGCAACGCCCCTACCCCAATGCGGCCCTGGGGTCCAGAGCCTGGCACGCCCGCCCCGCCGCCGTACCTTTGGGGTCCGGAAGACAAAGGTCCCCGACTCCTGCATGCGCACTGGCTCCTCGAACTTGAGCAGGTCGCTGCCCGCGTGCAGGGAGGAGCCCTGTGGACGGTCCGGTCAGGGCACTCTGGCCAGGCAGTGCCCTCAGGGCCTTGGCATTCCGGCCTCTGCCCGGGCCCCCTTGGGTGTCCCCATCCCTAATGACCACCCAAGAGCCCGACGCACCTGCGTCTGCAGAAGACCCTGGCTGTCCCTGTGCGGGTGCCCCGGGGCACCCCGAATGCACTGGCCGCCCTGCCGACCCCCCTCAAGGGCCTCCTTCCCTGCCGCTGCCCCCCAACATGCCCCGAACACCCCCTCCTGCCGGGCCCACCTTCACCGTTTCCAGGTTCCTGCCCTGGAAGGTCACCTCCGTCTCATGGTTCATGGGGATGACCACAGGGCTGGGGTTCAGGAACTGGGGGCAGCTGTCCTCCTGGGGGAGAGGGGGGGGGTCAGGCCTGCGTGGCCACAGCCAAGCAGCCAGCCCCCCGCCCCCAGGGCCCCTGGCTGGTCACCGTGTGGGCGCGGACGATGCCGTCCTCGGGGTTGGGCGAGGCCTCGCGGCACTCATGGTAGCGCAGGTCCCACTGGCAGGTCCAGCGGTTGCTGGCGCAGGAGATGCACCTGCAGGAGAGGGCGGTGAGGGGCCGGGCCGGGCCGGGTTGGGGGCGGGGAGGCGGGCGAGACTCACGGCAGGTTCTCCACCAGGCTCATGGCCTCCCGGCAGTCGTAGAAGGGGTACTCGTGGGAGGTGAGGAAGATGTCGCCACGCCTGAAGCGGAGCTGGATGCTCACGGACACGTGATCTGCGGAGGGCAGAGGGCACGTGTGTGTGGGGGGAGGGCAGGGGACGGGGTGCCCGGACGGAGATGGGCCCCGGTGTCAGGGGGCTTCTCGCCCCCTCAGAGGCCGTGGGCAAGCCCGTCCCGGGGCTTGGGGCTGAGTGTGGAGATCCTCGATCTTCCCTGGGGCCCTGCTGGCACCCCCACCCCGCGGTGTCGGCCGGGCCTGCCACCCGCTATCTGATCTGGGCTCCGGTGTCGGCTCCCGGAGCTGGCTTGCCTTCCCCCGGCGGCTCCTGGCAGTCTGGCGGGAGGGCCTGCCAGGTCCCTGCCCACGTCACCGCCTGGCCCCGCTGCCCCCAACGCTCAGGGGACACAGGCAGGTGCCTGCTCTGGCCCACGCCAGGGGACCCTGGCAGCTAAGGACTGAGAAGGGTGATGGGCCCCCGCCCAGACGGCGCTGCCGGGCAGGGGTGAGGAGGCAGGGGGAGGCAGGAGGCGCCTACCCTGGCCCGGCGGCGTGCCAGGGATGCTGCTCGGCGAGTTGCAGACCACGGCGTCCCCCTCCACGCGTGCGGCGTGCGGCGCCGAGTCGCCAAAGAGGCACAGGAGCGCGTCGTCCTCACCCAGGGCGGGGAGTGGGCTGACGGCCAGCTGCACCTGGAGGGGTCCGCGAGCTCACATCTGGGTCCCCCTCCCCCCAGCAGGCCCCGGCACCTTGTCCCTCCTGCTCTCCAGAGAGAGGCCCCTGCGTGGGTCAAGCCGATGCCTCAGAGAAGCCTCTAGAACCCGCCTCCATTTCACCCAAAACAGGCCCCCGAGGGGTCACCCCCACCCACCCAGGTCACAGGGTCACGGGCCCGGCGCCCCCTCCCTGCCCCACGCACCTCCCCCTGGGCGCGCCGGCTCATGTTCTGCGGCTCGGCGCCGGTGACCACCACGCAGGACCTGTTGCGGCTCCACAGCCAGTGGCTGGGCTCCTCCGCCCGCGGGCACTCAGCCCTCCTGGTGCATCTGCGGGGACAGAAGGCAGCAGCAGCCTCAGCCCTGGGAGCCCCTGCCCCAGGCCCGGGACGGCGTCTCGCTCCCTGGGGCCCATGCCATGTCCCCCAGAGTCCACAGCCGGCGCTCACCGTCCCTCGACGACACACCAGCCACAGTAGGGGTCCTGGGAGTCGCGGCACTGCTCGCAGGTTGGGTAGCTCAGACACTCCTGCACCGGGGCCCGGAACACCTGGGGGAGCAGGGCCGTGAGCCGGTCTGTTCTAGGCAGCGGACGCAGGCTGGGCTCCACGTGTGGCCGTGGCCTGGTGGCTATGCCTGGCGTGGGAGGCAGACGGGGCTCCCAGGGAGGCCTGGGGTCCTGGCCATGGAACCTGCTCAGGCCCTGGCACCCTCCGAGGGTGCTTGGACGTGTGGGGGCTGCAAGGACCGGCCTGAGGGGCCCCTGTGCCAATCCCCACAACGAGCTTGGGGGCTGCAGAGGCCACGTAGTTCCCTGCCACCGGGACAGGGCAGCAGCAGGGCCACAGAGAGGCATGGCAAGGCACAGGACCCACCAGATAGACACAAAGTTGCAGAGACAGGATTGCAACCACTGCCCAATTGGCCGGGCGTGGTGGCTCCTGCCTGTCATCCCAGCACTCTGGGAGGCCGAGCTGGGAGGATTGCTTGAGGTCAGGAGTTCAAAACCAGCCCTGAGCAAGAGCGAGACCCCCGCCTCTACTAAAAATAGAAAGAAATTAATTGGCCAACTAAAAATAGATAGAAAAAATTAGCCAGGCATGGTGGCGCATGCCTGTAGTCCTAGCTACTCGGGAGGCTGAGGCAGGAGGATCGCTGGAGCCTAGGAGTTGGAGGTTGCTGTGAGCTAGGATGACGCCACGGCACTCTAGCCTGGGCTACAAAGTCAGGCTCTGTCTCCAAAAAAAAAAAACAAAAAAACCCCCCAAAACTCTTCAAAATAAAAAACACTGCCCAGGAACCGCCAGGTGACTGGGTGGGCCCCGTGCAGCCCAAGGAGAGCAGCCCGGCCTGGGCTCCGCAAGCCCCCACCCTCCCCCACCCCTCCAGGCGGGTCGATGCCTGGGTCACGGTGGCCGCCGCCCTGCCCCGAGGGTGCTGTCCTGGCGGTGTCTGGCTTGCCTTGTCCTGGGTCATGGCGTACAGGCTGGCCAGGTCTCCGGACAGCACCAGGTCCTGCTTGATCCTCTTGTTGATCTCCACAAGGATGGAGCCGTACTCCGAGGACGTGCCGTCCGGCGCCAGGTACACCTGCGGGTGGGGGCGGGAGCGTGAGCACAGGGGCCTCCGGCACACACGGACCTGTCGGAGCTCCCGGCCCTGCCCTCACCTTGAGGATTCGGCCGTCGGAGGTGCCCAGGAAAGCAATGGTGTGGCCGTTCTCCGCAGTCACCGTCACGGCCGTCAGGTTCAGGCCCCCACGCTGCAGCACGGCCGTGGCCGTGAGTCCGTCCCGGCTGCCCAGCGGGTAGGGCAGGTGCTCCGAGCCACACGGGAAGCTCTGGCTGGCGCCCTGCAGACCACACGTCAGCGGCAGGCAGGCCCTGCCCAGAGCCCCTCCCTACCAGGGACCCCAGCTGTGCGCTGTCCTGCAGCACACGCCACTGAACAGGGCCCACGGGACATGGGACACAGCACACACACATGCAAGGCTTACGCTGGCCCAAACCTCAGCCACACGGCACACACGCACCTCCAACCAGGCGGGACATGCAGACCCAGGCACTGTGGTCCCAGTCCCCAGCCACACGGCACACACGCACCTCCAATCAGGCGGGACATGCAGACCCAGGCGCTGTGGTCCCAGTCCCCAGCCACACGGCACACACGCACCTGCAACCAGGCGGGACACGCAGACCCAGGCACTGTGGTCCCAGTCCCCAGCCACACGGCACACACGCACCTCCAACCAGGCGGGACACGCAGACCCAGGCGCTATGGTCCCAGTCCCCAGCCACGCGGCACACACGCACCTCCAATCAGGCGGGACACGCAGACCCAGGCGCTATGGTCCCAGTCCCCAGCCACGCGGCACACACGCACCTCCAACCAGGCGGGACACGCAGACCCAGGCGCTGTGGTCCCAGTCCCCAGCCACACGGCACACACGCACCTCCAACCAGGCGGGACATGCAGACGCAGGCGCTATGGTCCCAGTCCCCAGCCACGAGGCACACACGCACCTCCAATCAGGCGGGACACGCAGACCCAGGCGCTATGGTCCCAGTCCCCAGCCACGCGGCACACACGCACCTCCAACCAGGCGGGACACGCAGACCCAGGCGCTGTGGTCCCAGTCCCCAGCCACACGGCACACACGCACCTCCAACCAGGTGGGGACACGCACACCCAGGCACTGTGGTCCCAGTCCCCAGCCACGCGGCACACACGCACCTCCAATCAGGTGGGGACACGCACACCCAGGCACTGTGGTCCCAGTCCCCAGCCACACGGCACACACGCACCTCCAACCAGGCGGGACATGCACACCCAGGCACTGTGGTCCCAGTCCCCAGCCACGCGGCACACACGCACCTCCAATCAGGCGGGACACGCAGACCCAGGCGCTATGGTCCCAGTCCCTAGCCACACGGCACACACGCACCTGCAACCAGGCGGGACATGCAGACGCAGGCGCTATGGTCCCAGTCCCCAGCCACACGGCACACACGCACCTCCAATCAGGCGGGACATGCAGACGCAGGCGCTATGGTCCCAGTCCCCAGCCACACGGCACACACGCACCTCCAATCAGGCGGGACATGCAGACCCAGGCACTGTGGTCCCAGTCCCCAGCCACACGGCACACACGCACCTCCAACCAGGCGGGACATGCAGACGCAGGCGCTATGGTCCCAGTCCCCAGCCACACGGCACACACGCACCTCCAACCAGGTGGGGACACGCACACCCAGGCACTTATCTTCTCAGTCCGTGCAAGCAGCACTGAGGACACGCATGGGACACGCACCAGCACGTGGCCGCCGCACTGGATCTCGCCGTGGAAGGGCTTGTAGAAGGTGTCCCGGGCCGCCTCCCGGGTGCCCGTGTAGCAGGCATTGCGGTTGGCCTCCATCTTGGCGTGGACCTCCTCCAGGGGGAAGAGGCAGAGGCCCGAGCCGGGGCCCCCGCCGCCGCGGCCGTCCCTGCTGAACGCGGCGTAGAGCACCCTGCCCGCACCGGGCGCGGCCACGGAGGCCGCCAGGCAGAGGCCGAAGGCGGGGGCCTGGGCGTCGCCGGGGTCTCGGCACTGCAGGTCCATCTCCAGGTAGGAGTAGTAGTAGGGGTCCTGCTTGCACATGCGTGCCAGCAACGTGCGGTTCTGCGCCGGGTGCTTGTCCTGCTGGTTGAAGACGAAGAACACGTACGGGCCGTCCTCGAAGGCCGCCACGAACTGCTGCGTGTTGGTGGACAGGTAGCCGGCCTTGTAGGTGGCGTGGTCCGTGTAGGCCTCGAAGGCCTCCCGGCCGTCGGCGCGGTCCAGCAGGCGGGTGCTCACGATGACGCCGTTGTCGTGGGGGCCGTTGCCCTTGCCCACAAACAGCACGCGCTCGCCGCCGGGGCCCGTGGAGCTCACCAGCCCCACCGTGGCCACGCCCTCGTCATTGCTGGCCACGAACGACTTCTCGCCGCTGCCGTCCTCGTAGAAGAGGCGCGTGGAGATGTTGCTCAGGGAGCGCAGGGCGCAGATGCCCTTGAAGAGGCTGCCACACTCCACCAGGCGCCTCCGGGGCGGGTCGAGCAGCAGCAGCTGGTTGACGTTGTCGGTCAGCATGGCCTCGTGGCACTGGCTGGCCTCGATGGGCGGCGTGCACTTCTTGTTGTCCGGGGCCGGGCCCGTGGCCGCCCGCTGCTCCAGCTGCAGGTCGGCGCTCAGCTGGTACAGCGCGTTCACCGCGCCCAGGTACACCACGCCCGAGGCCCCGTCCACCACCAGGTGGTTCAGCTCCGTCTCGCTGCGGAAGGACTCCAGCTTGCGGGGCCGCAGGCCCGAACCCACACCCGCCAGGCCCAGGAGGGTGAGGGCCCAGAGCAGCAGTGCCATGGCCCCCGGCAGCCTGTGGGGAGAGAGGAGGGTCAGGGGCGGCCAGCCCAGAGGGCCTTCCGTCCCCTGCAGCCGCCCGCCCGGCCCCCGTCCAGGAATGACGGGAACATAGGCCGGAGAGCGTGGGGGGCACCCCACCGACTGGGGAGCCCAGCGCCCAGTCCTTTCCGGCCTTCTCCTCCCCGGAGATCTTGAAGGAAACCATTTCCCAGCCCTTTTCTCAGGTTCACCCGGGGGGAACGGGCGCAGTGGCTCACGCCTGTCATCCTAGCACTCTGGGAGGCTGAGGCCAGGCGGATTGCTCGAGGTCAGGAGTTCCAGACCAGCCTGAGCAGCAAGAGCAAGACCCCTGTCTCTACTAAAAATAGGAAGAAATTAGCCGGACAACTAAAAATAGAAAAAATTAGCTGGGCACGGTGGCAGGCATGCCTGTAGCCCCAGCTACCTGGGAGGCCGAGGCCGGGAGGATCGCTTGAACTCAGGAGTTTGAGACCAGCCTGAGCAAGTGCGAGACCCCGTGTCTACTAAAAATAGGAAGAAATTAGCTAGACAACTAAAAATAGAAAAAATTAGCCGGGCATGGTGGCGCTTGACTGTAGTCCCAGCTACCTGGGAGGCTGAGGCAGGAGGACTGCTTGAGCTCAGAGTTTGAGGTTGCTCTAGCCCAAGTGACAGAGTGAGACTCTGTCTCAAAACAAAAACAAAAAGGAAAAGTTCACCCTGTAGTCTAACCTACGACTGGGGCCAACCCACAGCCCCTGCCCAGCACAGGACCTCCCGGGGAACGGGCGCCCTGACCTCCAGCTCCGGGTTCCCAAAGCCCCCAGGGCAGCGAAGCCACACCTCCAGGAAGTTTCCCGGGTGCCAGCACATGTGTCCCCAACCTGGTGACCCCAAGAAGCTCTAGGTGGTCAGGGAGGCGCTGGCCGAAGTGCACAGGCCCAGGCTGACCACTCGTGGAACAAAGAGAAGCAGAGGAGACCAGAGACGCACAGCTGGGAGCGAGGGGCAGCACAGCCCAGCAAATGCGCACACTGTGGGCACCGGCCGCCACAGCCGCTCTGACAGCAGCCTGGCCCCACCTCCCCGCCAGACCCCCTTCCCCTGGGAGAACCAGCAGGAGCCAGCAGCGTCCACCCACCCCCCTCACTTGCCCTCCCAGCACAGAGCCTGGGATGTGTGGACGGACAGGCAAGACCTTGTGGGCAGCTCTGGACCCGCCAGGCCTCTAGGAGGGAGGCTGCCCGTGGGCTGGGCCAGACCACGTCTGTGCGTGCGTCTAACACAGCGAGCAGCCTGCAGGGACGCACGCTCCTTAGGGGCCTGTGCCCGTGTGGATGAGGGCAGACCGGTTAGGCGGGGTGGCGCCATGCTAAGGGCCCCCAACTGCAGGAAGATCTGAGGCCCCCAAAAGTGGACCCAGGGCCAGGCGCAGTGGCTCATGCCTGTCATCCTAGCACTCTGGGAGGCCGAGGCGGGAGGAGTGCTTGAAGCTCAGGAGTTCGAGACCAGCCTGAGCAAGAGCAAGACCCTGTCTCTACTATAAATAGAAAAAAATTAGCCAAAGAAACTAAAAATAGAAGAAATTAGCCAGGCATGGTAGCACATGCCTGTAGTCCCAGCTACTCAGGAGGCTGAGGGAGGAGGATCGCTTGAGCCCAGGAGTTTGAGGTTGCCGTGAGCTAGGCTGATACCACGGCACTCTAGTCCAGGCAAGAGAGTGAGACTCTCTCAAAACAAACAAAAAGTGGACCCAGAACCCGTGTGGCCCTCCCTCCCCGACTACAGGGCACCAGGATCACGGGAGACTCAGGAGCAAGCGGTGGGCAGGGCCGCTCTGCCTCCAGGCCCCCCCAGGGCCCGTGTACCTCTCCTCTGGGGACCCTGCTCTGTCCCAGCCAGAGTCCCCTGCAGCAGTCCCCACCACAGCTGCCCTTTCCTGGATTCGCCGTAACGTTAGCTGGGCGCACCTGTGACTGTCTGGGGGTGCCACGGCACCTGCCAGGTGGGGCCGGCTGCTGCCAGCTCCCCAACTCCCCGTGCAGGGCCCTGCCCTGAGCCCCAGAGTGGCGGCTGCTACACCCCCTAAGGACACTTTGAACATCATCTCCCTGCATGCGCTCTTATCCCCTGGAAAACCAATCTCTCCCACTGCCTATTATCTTTTTTTTTTGAGACAGAGCCTCGCTTTGTTGCCCAGGCTAGAGTGAGTGCCATGGCATCAGCCTAGCTCACAGCAACCTCAAACTCCTGGGCTCAAGCGATTCTTCTATTAGTTGGCCAATTAATTTCCTTCTATTTATAGTAGAGGTGGGGGGTCTTGCTCTTGCTCAGGCTGGTTTCGAACTCCTGACCTCGAGCAATCCGCCCGCCTCGGCCTCCCAGAGTGCTAGGATGACAGGCGTGAGCCACCGCGCCCGGCCTATTTAATAATCTTAAGCACACAAAGAACAGGCTACGAGGCAAAAACGTCAGAAGCCACTCAGCAACCCTCCAGTGACAGTCCCTCCCGAGTGCACCCAGGGACGGCCGTGTCTCCACGGAGCAGGCCTTGGGCCAGGCTCTGACCCGGGTGCTTTTGATGGACTTTCTCCTTTGGGCCTCCTGCAACGGCCGGTGGAGCTGCTGCTATTGGCCTGTTTCTCAGCAGAAGAGACTGCGGGACTGAGAAGGGAAGTCACCTGCCCGGGGCCACGCTGCCGGGTCGGGTCGGTGGCCGGGATTCTGACCTGCAGCAGGGGTGGCACAGCCTCTGACCACTGCACTTCCGCCTCCTGGGCGGGTGGGGTGGGGGGAGCTGTCTGTCCTGCTCTGGAGCCAAGCAGGGTGTGTCCCTGGGGCCCCAGCGTTGGCGAGGCTGTGTTTATACAAATAGGGTGGCTTTTTCTCATGGACCCTGCAAGCCTCCCATCAAACCCACTTCCTTCTTTTCTTTTTTGTTTTAGTATTTGTATTTCTATTTATTATTATTATTATTATTTTTAAAGAGACAGGTTCCTTTTTTTTTGAGACAGAGTCTCACTTTGTTGCCCTGGCTACAGCCCCGTGGCTTCAGCCTGGCTCACAGCAACCTCAAACTCCTGGGCTCAAGCGATCCTCTTACCTCACCCTCCCAAGTAGCTGGGACTACAGGCATGCGCCCCCATGCCCGGCTAATTTTTCCTGTATATTTTCAGCTGTCCAAGTAATTTCTTTCTGTTTTTTTGGTAGAGACGGGGTCTCACTCTTGTTCAGGATGGTCTCAAACTCCTGAGCTCAAACCATCCACCCGCCTCGGCCTCCCAGAGTGCTGGGATTATAGGCGTGAGCCACCGCGCCAGGCCAGACCCGCTTCCTTCTTTGCTCAGGCCCCTGGGATGCCCCCCACCAGGCTGTGGCCGCTCTCCACTCCCAACCTGCGTCCCTCTGTCCCGACTGTCTACAGGCTTCCTCAGACCTCTGGAGGAAGCACAGTTAAAGCAACTGACGGACAAAACCCTCCCACCCAGGGTTGCCATGTGAGACAACGGGGCTGGGCTGGCCTCCGGCTCCCGGTGGGGAAGGTGCCCTCAGCCAGGCAGCTCCCGCCTCTGCACAGAACCCCCACCCAGCACGTGGGTGGCAGTGCTCAGTTCCTGCCCAGCCCCTGGGGACCCCCACCATGCCCACCGGCCAGCAGCTGGTGAGAGAGATGACCACCAAGAGGGACAGGGAGGGCCCTGGCAGCTCGGTGGGGCAGAGGCCACCAGTGCCAGGCACAGGTGAAGGTGGCTCAAGGCAGGGCAGGGAGGGAGGGAGGAGCCTCACCAAGACGGGGGTGGGGGGTGGGGGGTGGGGGTGGTGAGCAGACTGGGGAGAAGACAGTGGCCTTAGTCAGAGGCAGGAAGATTTCACAAGCCCCTCAGGACCCTGGGGCAGATCTCAGGTAGGAGGCTCCCACCCAACCCAGGGTCCTCCCTCTGGCTCAGCTGCCCGTCCAGAGGAGAGTGGAGGGCCCAGCCGCTATTCCAGTGACTCCAAGACTCTGCCCCAAGCCCGGCGACCTAGGAGGGGCCAGATCACTCCCCACACCCACTTCGGTGGCCACTACGGCAGGCAGGCCCTCCTGGGGATGAGAGGGTCCTGGGCCTCGGCTGCCCCCTGCAGGCCCCCAACCCCCAAGTCCGCCCAGCAGGGCCTCAGCCCACACCCAGGCCCAGGCTCACCAGGGTCGGGTAGGCTCCGGCTCCACTCCCGTTCCGCCCCCGCTCCGCCCAACCGCAAGCAGGGAATGAATGGAATGTACCCGGCGGAGCAGGAGCGGGGGCGGGGGCCCAGCCAGAGCGGGGTGGAGCCACGCACCCTCCCGCCTGCCACCCTCCCGCCTGCCGTCCTGTCTTGTCCTGCAGGGCGGCTGGCCTGCCCACACCGGAGCTCCATCAGGGGAACCCTGGGCGCCTCCTGTCAGGAAAAGCTCTGGCTCTGGGCCCTGCCGGCCACTGCACTGCCCCCAGCCCTCTCCCTCCTGACCCACGGGGCCTGCACGGAGAACGCCCTCCGCCCCCTCTGGTCAACCTTTCCTGGGACACAGCCACCTGGCTGAGGCCCCTGGGCAGGAGCCCATCTCTGTCCTGGTCCAGGGCCAGCCCCCCCCCCGGGGGGCTGGTACACCCTAAGTGCTCAATAAATACCATGAGTGCCACCAAGGAAAACCACACCAGCCCAGATACCACACAGGGCTCCAGGCCCCTGCAGAGCCCAGGCCTTCCAGAGTGGCAGGCCAGAGGGTGGGACCTCGCTCGCAGGGGGCAACTCCCTGCTGCTCAGAGACAGACACAGCCACCTCGGGTGACCTGCCTGGCCAGGCCCAGCAGCACAGGGTGACCCGTGACCGCAGCAAAGCTCAGGCCCGTGGCGCGGGACGCGCCAGGCACAGCCAGCTGAGCTTCCTGCTGCCGGTGTTCCTGGAACAGGAGGGCAGGCGGGCAGCAGGAGCTTCCTGTTTTGAAGCAGCGCTGGGACCCCCTCTTTGCACAGGGCTGTGGGGATTTCCTCGGGCACCAGGCAGCCTTCTTCCTGGCAGAAGCTCAGAGGTGCACTTTCAAGAAGCCACACCGACTGTGGCCTGCTGCCCAGGAAGTGCCTGGACACCACCCCCCAAAATTCCCAGCTGCGATGTTCCAGAACCCAGCGCCCCGGCGCCCACACGCTGACCTACGCTCCACCTGAGCGAAAGAAAGCCTGGTTTCAGAGAAACGGGGGGCCCCATGGCGCCCCACGGACAAGGAGGCTCCCACCCCACCCGCCCGGGGCCACACTCGCCTGCCCGGGGGTCGGCACAGACGTGTGCACACAGCACCCCTGAATCCTGAGCTCTCCACCCGACCCCCTCTGCGTCCATCTGCCACCGGCCACGGCAGGGGCTGCGGCCTGCCTGGACAGGGCCTCCAGGACACCACTCAGCGTGGTGTCTACACGGCCCCCAGCCTCACTGTCTACACCGCCCAGCCACCCACCGCCTTCCCAGGTGGGCACGGCCCCCTCACCGCGGCTCCAGTGGTCCAGGTCAGTTTCTGCTCCAGGCCGGCATCAAGATTCTCTAGGAGGCAAAGGAGAGACAGTGGTCACAACACCAGGAGCCTGGCCTGCCTCCACCTGTCCCCTCTGCTCCGCCTCACTGTGCGGGGAGGGGAGGGGGAGAAAGAGCCCACAGGACCCCACCCGGCCTCCCTCCCTCAGACACCTCCAGACACCTCCTAGCCCGGGGCAAATCACTCACTTGCTCCTCCCAGAGCACCAAGCCCAGCACGCCCCTCCCCCCCCCTCAGGGCCAAGTTTACTCATACTGTCGGCCATATATATATATATATATATATATATTATATATATATCTTTTTATTTCAGCATATTATAGGGGTACAGATTTTAAGGTTTCAATAAATGCCCTTTCCCCCCTCTCCCCCCACAAGTCTGAGTCTCCAGCATGACCATCCCCCTGTCGGCCTTTTTGAACTAGTTACCCATATCACTCCGAATAAAATAAAAATTGCCTTCTGAAAAGCAAGCACACCTACTTACTAGCCGTATGCCCTTGGGCAAGTTACTTAACTTCTCTGTACCTCATTCCCCATCTGTGGAAGGGAGACGGTAACGGTGAGCTACCCCACAGGGGTTTTGAGGACTAAACGAATTCATTCAGGAACAGCCAGGGAGCATGCCACACTGTTACACTGCGACTGGCAACTGTACCCTGGCATCCTAGATAAACCCCTTGTAGACAGGGAGGCACAGACCCCAGGCACTTCCGGGCGTGTGGTTTGTAGTAGTGAAACTTTGGCAGCCACACGGCACCCACTGAGGACGCTGGGAACCACGAGGCCGGTGCAGGTGGTGGCCTGTGTTGACACAGCATCATGGCCCAACAGGTTTCCTAACCGAGGGCCTGAAGCCCTCAATCTAAGTTGAAAATAGTGGACTTTGGGGGCAAGAAGGAGGGGCCCGGGATAGCACAGTAACTTTTTTTTCTTTTTTGGGGGGAGACTGAGTCTCACTACCTTGCCCAGGCTAGAGTGCCGTGGTGTCAGCCTAGCTCACAGCAACCTCAGACTCCTGGGCTCAAGCGATCCTCCTGCCTCAGCCTCCCGAGTAGCTGGGACTACAGGCATGCGCCACCATGCCTGGCTCATTTTTTCTTATATATATATTTTTAGTTAGCCAATTAATTTATTTCTTTCTATTTTTAGTAGAGACGGGGGTCTCTTTCTCTCTGGTGGGGGGTGGGGGTTTAGTAGAGACGGGGGTCTCTTTCTCTCTCTTGCTCAGGCTGGTTTCGAACTCCTGACCTTGAGCGATCCACCCCCCCCTGCCTCCCAGAGTGCTAGGATTATAGGCGTGAGACACCACGCTGGGCCAGCACAGTAACTTTAATAAAAAAAAAAAATGTGTCTTACTTGTGGAAACACAAAGCAGCTCACCCTACAGCACTAATGGCTCTTCCCCAGCCCACTCCTCTGGCCCCACATGGCCTCAGGACTCAGCTTTTCCGGCCTGGCGTGACCACCCCAACCAAGGCTCAGCCATGGAACCCGGCTTCTGCTGCAGGGCCACGGCAAGCCCACTCTGACCAGCCCGGCTCGGTCAGGGGCCAGAGGACCCACCAGGCCCGTCCCTCCCCTCCCCACCCTGCCAGGACCCTCCTCCATGTGCTCTGTGCAGCAGGCTCCCCACCTGCCCCCGGCAGGACAGCAGGGCCCAGGCTTGGACCCAGGGCTAAGCCCAAGGGAGACCTGCAGGAGTGAGGCGAGAAGGGTGGCGCACACTACACCCACACACAGGCACAGGCTTCTGTGCTGAGCAGGGAGGGGTTGACCTGGCCAAGGGACTGGGGGGGGGACTGGGAGGGGGGAGTCGCAATGCGGCCTTGTGACAGGAGCAAAGGGTGCTCCTCGGAAAACCCAGCGGCCATGGCCGGGTGCGGTGGCTCACGCCCGCCCGTCATCCTAACACTCTGGGAGGCCGAGGCGGGAGGATGGCTTGAGCTCAGAGGAATTCGAAACCAGCTTGAGCAAGAGCAAGAGCCAGACCCCGTCTCTACTATAAATAGAAAGGAATTAGCCAAACAACTAAAAATAGAAAAAAAATTAGCCGGGCATGGTGGCGCATGCCTGTGGTCCCAGCAACTCGGGAGGCTGAGGCAGGAGGATCGCTTGAGCCCAGGAGTTGGAGGTTGCTGTGAGCGAGGCTGACGCCAGGGCACTCTAGCCTGGGCAACACGGTGAGACTCTGTCTCAAAAATAAAAAAAGAAAGAAAGAAAGAAAGAAAACTCAGCGGCCAAACCACAGGGCGCCTGGGGCCCACAGGGAGGATGCATCAGGACCCACCTGCACTTGCAGAGGGCGGGGGGCCTGCGCTGGGGGTGCCACGGTGCTCACGGTGCCCCCTTTGCCACCCCAAAGGGTCAGCGCCCGGCCTCTGCAACCTCTGCACCTGCTCCCTCAGCCTCCCCCAGCCCTGACACATCTCCCTGCAGCACCCCCCCCAAGCCGGCACCCTCTCCTGACCCAGGTTGGGGGTGGGGGTCAGCTGCAGGCAAGGCCAAGGGAGGCCAGCCTCTAGCCAGGGACACCCTCTCCCTGCACAAAAGGAGGGTCCCTTCCAGCGCCTCTAGATAAAGGTCCCTCTCCAGGCCCCTGAGGCCATGGGTCAGCCCCCCCCTCTTCCCCGGTTGCTGTGGTCACACACCCAGAGCTGCAAGCAGGCCCAGCTCTGAAGCAGGACAACTGGGTTCACACCCTCACCCTGTCCCCTTTTCTAGCTGGGTGACGTGGGCTATCCACGAAGCTGCTCCGTGCCTCGGTTTCCCCATGTGTAGCCTGGGAGTAATAACGGTCCACCTCAAAGGTGCGCTGCCTAGACCAGGCGTCCTCAAACTATGGCCCTGCCGGCCACATGCGGGCCACATGCGGGCTGCCTAGCACATTCATCAGGCCCTCCAGGTGTTTTTGCTGCTGCTACCTGTCCTGCTTAGCAGCCGACTTGTCCCGGGCCCACAGTGCTCACTCTCCAACGGTCTTGGGGACAGTGAACTGGCCCCTTGTTAAAAAAGTTTAAGGACCCCTGGCCTAGAGGTCTGCGTGCCTGGGGGTGTGTGCAAATCCCTGCGGCAGGGCCCGCAGAGAGAAGCACTCAGGGAATGCTGGCACCAGAATGCTGCCGTGTCCCTGCTGTACTGCCCCCTGCAAAACTCCCACTATTCTTCGGAACCCTTGAGACACCCTGCCGCACCCCGCACAGGAGGGACTGTCATTCACCCTCTGAGGGCTGTGGTCTTCATTGACCGGCCCTCTGTGAGCAGGGCCTGAACACCGGCTCTGGCCAGGTGGGCACCGGTGGGTCACAGACTAGGGAACCAGGGAGGGAGGGTGCAACTAGGGAACCGGGGAGGGGGAGTGCCAGCCCCCCCAGCTTCCAACACAGCAGAAGTGTCTCCTCCCCCAACCAAAGTTCCAAAGGGCTCTGGGCCGCAGCCCCCCGCCCCCCAGACTGAGTAGATCCATTATGAGCCCTTTCCGCCTGGTTACCCTCCGAGTTCCCTCCTCAGGTTCCTTTTTTAACCAGCGGCGGCCAGGCCCCTAGCACAGGCTGGCGTGCTCTGCCCACCCCCACCCCACCAGGAAAAGGTGCACAGGCGTCTGCAGGGGAAGGTCTAGGCCAAAGGCTGGGAGCTGTCGGCCCTGGTCTGAGCACCCCTCACCCTCCCCAGGTCTCAGCCCCACTGGCGGAGGTTTCTGGGGTGTGGGGCAAAGGTGGGGGTTCTTTTCAGCATTTTCAAGCACACACGGATTGAGCAATTTCTGAATGCTAAAATCAAATCATCGCAAAGCAGACAGGCCCAGGGGCAGGAAGGTCTCAGTCTGGGGGCTGTGCCAGGCCAGGCCAGGCCAGCAGGCTGTGGGCTGGGGGGGCACCAGGCAGGGCTGGGACTGGGGGAGCAGAGGCAGTCAGGCAGGGGCAGGGACCAAGAAGGCCACCCAGGCACTGGCAGACACAGAGGAAGGGACAATTCAATCCCAGGCTAAGGTCCAGGTGGGGACAGGCGGGGGAGGGGATAGGTACAGCCCTCCCCCCTGCCTCAGTGAGGGGAGCGTCCTAGCACTTGGCACACCCCCTCTACAGGTAAAAAGCCAGGGAGGGCCTGGGGCTGGGCGCAGTGGCTCCCGCCTGTATTCCTAGCACTCTGGGAGGCTGAGGTGGGAGGATGGCATGAGGTCAGTAGTTAGAGACCAGCCTGAGCAAGAGTGAGACCCCATCTCTACTAAGAATAGGAAGAAGTTAATTGGACAACTAAAAATATATAGAAAAAACTAAGCCAGGCATGGTGGCGCGTGCCTGTAGTCCCAGATACTCGGGAGGCTGATGCAGGAGGATCGCTTGAGCCCAGGAGTTTGAGGTTGCTGTGAGCACTCTAGCCCTGGTAACATAGTGAGACTCTGTCTCAAAAAAAAAAACCCTGGGAGGGAGACAGGCCCTGCACTAGAGACCCCCATGGTGTGTGTGTGGGGGAAGGACACCTCTGACAAAGTGGGGGCGACGCCACCCTAGGGCAGCTCAAGGGGCTTCTGAGAGGGGCTTGCCCCCCGCATGGGTGGGGGCTCCGGAGCAGCGCGAGACCCCCGACCCACCGGGCGCCGGGGGTGGGGCCTCTGCTCGTGCCGCCCAGCGCGCAAATCTGCAATTAGCCGAGCCTGAAACCACTCGGAAGAAACAAATCGGCAGCGCAGCGCGAAACCCAGCCTCCAGCCTCCGCTGTTTTCAAAACAAGCGCGAGACGCCTCGGCGCGGGTGGGGGCGGCCTCCGCCCGCCCGAAGCCCCCGCCCCGGGCGCGCCCCTCGGAGGAGGACTACAGCCCCCGGGAGGGCGGACGCGAGGGGCCTCCCGCACCCAGCCCCACCCCCACCCGCTGCTTGGTGTCTCGGGTCAGAGTTCAGCTCCTGGAGCTCGCAGGCCGGGAGGGGCATCTACTGGGTGGGACTCGGAGCCTGAGGCCGACCTGCGCCAGGCCTGGCACCCCCTCCGGTGAGGACGGCCCAGGCCCCCT